AGTACCCTCTTTTACAGTCTAATTACTTCTGTCACTCTAGTCAAAAGCCAGCACCAATCACCATTCATTGACCAAGAAGACCCCAGCCAACCTATCAACGGACTGAAGTACCACCTACTTAATTCATAGAACCAGTAGCAATAAGAAATTGAATGGTTGCTATTCAAGCCAAGTTTTAGGGTAATAGCTAGGAAATCTGGATGCAATTTTTTGTTATATAACAAATTATGTATTTTACTTTATACATTAAAGATATCACTCTGAAAAGGGATCTATAGGCTTTACCAAATTGCCAGTAGAGTCCATTGGAAAAATCAAAAAGCTAACTATATTCAGATTTTAAAAATGTGAAACCTGGTTGATTTATTTTAGTGCCTATTTGCCCAATTCTGTCTCTCAAAATACTAACATAACTTATGAAGACAACTGTAGGAAAATGTTGTGGCAAAATCACCCAGCAAACTTCTATTAATAGTTGTATCTGATCCTGGTTGTATCTGATGGTTTGGTAATTGGCCTGATAAAAATTCAGTCTCTGTATATAAGACTTTTTTTTTTTTTTTTTTTAAGTTACCAGCTTGTTGCATCCAAAAGAAGCACTTCAAATAATGATCAAAGGGTCCTTGCCTGCTCCACCCAGAGGCCAACTCTGATCTATTTGGCCAGGGCTGTAAGTAGATCTAGGAGAAAAAACAACAACAACAAACAAACAGTAAAGGAGACACTCATGTGAGACTTATTTCTAATTTAAGAAACCAAAGTTAAAAAGAAGCTTAAATAGCACAAACAAAAGAAAGAAAAATCAGACTCCTGGAATGCTACAGAAAGAAGGGATTAGAGCAAGTGGAATGAGAACATGGTCTTGAACTTGAATTTTGTGGTCTAGAAAAAATATCTTGTAGCTTAACAGCTTCTTTGTGCCTACTTCCTCTTTCAGGGTCTGTGTGCCTTCTTGAATCTTGTCATTCAATCAGATGCCAACCCTTCATGTTTACCTCTTCATTAGATCAAAAATGACTTGGCTTTCTACTGGGTCTTTTTGGTGATTGATGGAAAGAGGAACTCCAGTCAATGAAGGCAGAGGCAGGAGGCTTTCCTTTTATTCCCCCTCCTTACTTCACTCCTTTTCCCGCCCCTTATTGTGTCCAAGGAAATTTGTAGCAAATTCAATATTATGGTCGGCTAGTACACTAGGACTTACTAGGTACACTCATATCCCCCGCCCCTCCACTGGGCCACATACCAGTATGTCCTTATGAAGCCCATATGGACACAGCCTAATAGCTACAGTAGGAACTAGAAGGATGAGTTATAGGCTTCAAGGGAACTTCACAACTTAGTTAACGATCCTATATCAATATCCTTGGTTTGGCTCTCATTTTTTAGTTCATCAGCCTAGGAGAGGCCATAATTGCCCAGCTCATCAGGATATCCGTGCATATAGCAAGGTCATATTAAGAGGCAAAGTGAGCCAAAAGAGGAAAAACTTGGACCAGAGGTCCAAAATGCTCAATTTCTGCCACTGTGGGCTGTTTGGATTTCATAGAGTCACTTTCTCTTACTGTACCCTGAAGCTATAAGTGCTCCAGGTTTTGAAATCTGAGAGAAAAATGAGAAGATAATGGGAAAGCATATCTGTATTATTTAGACCAAGGTCCAATTTATTTTTATTGCTGATACATGATAGAATCAAGTGCCAAGGTTCTAATAAAGGTGTAGAGTGAGTGGGAAATCAAAATTACTGGGCTGCTGAAACAGGTTTGGCTCAGTGGATAGAGCGTCAGCCTGTGGACTGAAAGATCCCAGGTTTGATTCTGGTCAAGGGCATGTACCTTGGTTGTGGGCACATCCCCAGTGTGCAGGACGCAGCTGATCGATGTTTCTCTCTCATTGATATTTCTAACTATGCCTCTCCCTTCCACTCTGTAAAAAATCAATAAAATATATATTTTTTAAAATCACTGGGCCTTCAGGTGATTTGGTCTCTGCCTAAATGCCATGTCTCAGAAAGACCTTCTCCCATGACCCTCTCTAAATCAGCATTCTACTCTTGAGGTCATTACTTATCCACTCTGTCCTATATTATTTTATTTATAGTAATATCTGTCATTCTCAACTAAAATGCAAGCTTTGTGACAGCAGGCCTTGATCAGCTTTGTTCTCTGCTTATTCCCATTGCTTAGGACAGTGCCTAACATATAGTAGAGGAAAAAACATATTTGATGAATTAATGAATTATAATGAGGAGAGAACATCCTACAAAATCAGGAAAGTCTGAGCCCAGAAAGATGTGAAAGAGCCATCCTTCACTTCAATTAAATATTCTATGTTCTTTTTATCAAGTTAGTTTCTTCTTCTAAAGAAGCAAGTATTTCACCTATGGTTGGTTAACCACCCCAAGCTTCTGAAGCAGAGAAGGAAGAATGACTTACTACATCTGCCTTGAAACTGATTCTTCCCCCATTTGAATTGTGTGGTTACAGTATGTAAATATACTCTTCCATGACATACAATGCCCACAATTGATTGGTGTAAACTGGGCAGCAAACCCAGCTGGACCAATCAGAGCCTTTCTCTGAGATATTGAGTGTGGGATATAGACAACAAATGGCAGTCCTTTTTCCATAGTGGATGTGTTTTAAGAACATATTGGGTGTTCATGTTTCTGGTGTGTGGAGGGAGTAACTGGCTTTTTAGCTAGAGAAGTGAAGTTTGTGTAATGAAAGAAAAAGGGACAGGTGCAGAGAGAAAGCATCATCAATATTTAAACATTGAGTTATTTCTGAATTCTAGCTACCTCTTTGTCCTTCCAGTGGTTTGATATTCAATATTTATTCAGATTTTTTTGAGCTAATCAATGTCCAGTTTTGCCTGAACCATTTATATTTTTATTTCTATCATGCACAAAATTCAAATAGATATAAGCAACATAACTTTTTTAGGAAGTGCTGCCTGGCAGTACAGAATTTTAGGAATATTCATACTCCACTTTATAGATGGTATGTCACCATGTGAGGCCAAAGTTCTCTGATAACAACAGCCTGAGAGGTTTCCTGTTTGGAGTGTGGCACTGTGCTAGAGAGAAAATTTGGAAGAGGTGGAGGCAGAAGTGGCAAGGCAGCACAGGGCAGTGGGAAGAGCACCGAACTGTGAGTCAGCAGTCCTGGCTGCAATGCTCATATTGCAAGTTTAGCAAATAATTTATCTTTGTGTCTAGTTATCTGTCATTTATTCATTTATTTATAAAGAAAGTGGAAGGGAGTGGAAGACACACATCGATTGGTTGCCTCCCACACAAGCTTCAACTAAGGCTGGGAATAGAGCTTGTGTGTGCCCTTGACCAGAATCAAACCTGGGACCTTCAGTCCACTGGCCAACACTCTATCCACTGAGCCAACCAGCTAGGGCTATTTGTCATTTAAAAAAAAATCCATTAATAAGGTCTGTTAGAGCAACCCAAATCTATGGTTCTACATGAGAGGAGGGCAGAAAAGGAGGGTGATGTGAGCTATGGAGATCCTTTTCCCAAGGTCAGTTGGAGCTCTGATCCAGGGCAGAAACAAGAAAATGCAGAGATGAATGGAAAAGTGCCAGGCCGCTTCCTTGCCACTAAGGCAGTTTATTTAGGGGCCCAGAGGAGAAGAAATGGGAGCTGCTTTATCCTTTGTACAGTGAGTATCCTTCAGAGGCTGCAAGCTGGGACTTTAGACCGAAGGAAGGAGCTATTGTGCCCTCTGGTGAGATTTTAATATTTGGTACGTTTTTGGGGTGGGGAATTCTGGGAGCCATATTTATTGTTGCAGGGGGAAAAGGCATAACAAAGGAGTCCTTTGATCCCTTCCCAAGACCCCATCCTTATTCACTAAACTCTCACCTTCCTCATCCTTCAAATTCATTTGGATAAACAATAGCATCTTTATTACTAAGTCTATGCAGTGGCCCAGGACAGCTTTTCTCTCTCCAAGCACCTAGTTACAGCTTTGCAAGGTAGAAAACAGTGGAAAACCATACATCCTCATCAGACCCAGTTTAAGATCAATGTGAACACTTGAAGAAACTGCTAAAATCTCTAGGACACTGGTTCTCGAACTTGAGCAGACGCCAAAATTTTCTGGAGGTGATGAAAATACAGAACAACTGTGTGGAGTGGGGCCTGAGAAATGTCTTTCTGACAAACTTTTGGGTGATGCTGATGCTGCTGGTCCAAAGGCCCCCATTTGAAAATGTGTATCAGTGTTTCCCAAAGTATGATACGCGTACCCCCAGGGGTACGGGAAGAGTTTGGTGGGGGTACGCGTTGCACCGGAGTTTGGTGGGGATATGCACTGCACCGTGCTTAGCTGTGCCTAATTCTATGTTCTCATGAGTACGAGGGGTACTCAGCGTTACGAAAATTATAGAAGGGGTACACATATGTCAAAAGTACACTGTTGGAGGGTCAGTAGCATTGCACTTGGGATCTTAAATTCAAACTCAAGTTCTCTCTCTTATTAGCTGTGTGAAAGATATGGAACCGTTTTCTCCCTCTCAAAGACTCATTAATTTCTACCTTTTCCCTTAGGATGGGAACCCCACTCTTTGGGAAGACCAATATTGGGAAGATAGCTTCCACCATCCCCTTCCTTTATGTGCCTCTCCCACCCCCAACTTAAGTGCACTGTGAGATGGGAAATAGGTAGCAGGCAAGCATAGCTCGGCCCTCCACTTGGCTTTTTCTCTAGGATCTGTCTGCCCACAGCAAGCTAACATTTACTGCTCCTTCAAGCCACACACCTCCGGAGACAGGTTCTGCACCTCAGGAAGGATGGTGGAGAATGGAAGCAGGGCGTAAGGTGTTCTAGCTCTCCTGTCTTTCTCCTTCGGTGAATCCCAATGTTTAGAAATGAAGTAGGACTAGGAGTAGGAAGAGTAGGCCGATTCTGGCTCCTGGTCCTAAGCGTTCTTTTCCCAATCAGGCTTTAACAAAAAGCCAGATTTTTATTTATTTTTTAATCACTTACCCCGTCTATGTATCAGTAGGTTCAAGGAGGAAGTAGCGGTGGCGATTATCTCCTTGGAATCTTTGGTAGAACCTTTACCATGTAGTATCCTCTCTAGTCAAGTGTGGAAAATAACAGTCACCACTTAGGAGGTTGCTGTAGAAATTAAATATAACACTAGCCACAGTAATAGACGGCAATATAATAACTAGCACATGGTAGATGCTCAAAAGTGCTCTCTTGTCTTGTAGGCCTGGATTTGCATGAAATTTCCCCAAAGCAGAATTTTAGGTCATTGCTGCAAAAAGGGTTGCTTCAGAATTCTTTTCCGACTATGAAGGTAAATCGTTCTGTAAATGTAGTTTAGGAGCATACAGTTTTTAGTTCATATAACTAGCAGATGCAGGTTTTATTGGTTTATAAATAAAACTAAAGGCTCTGAATGACATGATCCATGTAGGAGGCTGATTGTGAGAAAGTCTGTGTTTGCACCTCTCTGTCTGCATATTGTATGCAGGTCCAAGAACACGCATGTGCATACACAATATTTAATAAGGAACCCAACCCTCCCCCACAAACCTAGCACAAAGCTGAATACAAAATGAAGCCAACAGATAGATGTAGCTTTAATAATGCTTCACTAAATAGCTTATGGCAAGTTTGTTTTTCTTAAGCTAAGGAATAGCAAGAAATTTTGCATATCATCCCTTTTAACTCCTTGAGGGCCTTGAAAACCCAAGGCATTGAGCAAAAGGGGATCAGTGTTTAGCTGAACCATAACCAAATCTCTTTGGTCTCCAAATGTTATTCTGAGAACTATGAGGCCATTCCCAGAGATACTATTCAAAGGCATTTTAAAAACCCTTCCTCATATAGAAAAATCAGGAACTATTAACACATTTCCCATTTTATCATGTATGCTATTCAAGCTAAAAAAAAAAAATGTGATTCCAAGACTTGTTGTTTCATAAAGCAAAGTCAACATAAAAAAATGAAGCATAGAGCCCTCATGTAATCTGTAATGAAGAACATTGGAAACCTGGCATGGCAAATAGCAGATAATGAAACATGGAAGCAACTGTCCCATCTTCTCTCCCAGAATGGTGCAGGTAACAATACTTCACTAGCATATCTCATTTAGGTTTCATGACAACCATGTGACATAAGCATGACAGCTACTTTTTTTTTTACAGATGTGAAAACTGAGGCTTGGTTCAGGTTAGAGTCATAGAGTTGAAGTGGCAGAGATGAGCTAAGTATTCACCCATCTGACTCTCAGTCTAGGGCTCAATGAGCTTGTCTGGATACTGAGTTTCTCTTGGTCATTCATACTATCATATCTGACCTGACTTTTCAGCCCATAGGACCGCATCCTTTGGATTTTTCTGTCTCATGTTCTATATGCTTGGAGTATGCTTCCTATTAGAAAATCTCATTGGATTGTGCACACCTCACTGAAAAGCTTGTGGGGTGGTAGGGAGCAACATGGATTTTGTAGTCAGAAAGACAAGAATTCCAAACTGTTTGAAGGTTGCCATAAAAATGAAATGAGATAATGCATGGGAAGGGTGTAGTAGGGCATACCATAGGCATTCAATAAGTTAATTACTTTCTTTCTTATGGTTATAATAATATCTTCATTCTAAGCCAAGAAAGTAGGGTGCAGAATAACTGACCAATGGTTTTTGACTTGGTTCAAGAGAAGAACCGGGAAAAAGAAATGCAAAATTCAATGTTCACTTGGTGATGACTTTTTCTTAAGGATAAATGGGTCTATAGAGGAACTGTTAAACATATATATAGTTTAAAAAAGATAAATGGGACTGACTTAGCATATAAACTAGGTTTATTTTTATCTCCTAGGCAAAGAGGCACTGAATATTTGGGGGGGGAGGGGGAGTTGGAGATTGATGTGTTCAGAAAGCAGGGTGACTCTGGTCTCAGGGAGCACGTAAGAGACTCATTTTCTTACATGCTGTCATCAGTAAAGGACAGAAGCACTAATTCAAGCCTACAAGCATGAAAAAAATCATCTCCCAAGTTCAAAATCTATGACTAGTTTGGATATAGGAAGTGATGGGAAGGCTGAGACCAGATGGTCATTTGATAGAATCTACCATTTTAGCAGGAAAATAAGCTTATTCTTCAAATATAAAATGGGCCATCTTGGAGGACAAGGTGAGATGAGTCAGCAAAAAGTGCAAACTCTCAATTTAAGATAGGAGAATTAGGCATCTTCCTATAGAAACAAAATCAGTTCAATAACAACAAAACCCAAACACAGGAGTAAAGATAAGTGAATTGTTGTAGTTTTCCCTTCAGTGGATCAGAATCCAACTTTTATTACCTAAGAGGATCAAATGTATTTTTTCCAGACCAAAGAAAACAATCTATAAACCCTAGAGCAGCTGTCACTAAGCATCAATCTGGTACAGACATGGGAATTCACTTTGAGTTTCTCTGAATGGTTGTTAAACATTTAAAAGGAAACATTACAGCAAAGTCCTTTAAATAGGATTTTCTCCCCTCCCTTTTTGGGCATACAGATTTGTTCTTATCAGTTAGTCACCAGTGACGCCAACCTCTGTGAGTCAGCAGGAAGAAAATCAGCTAGGATCTCCTCTGGTAACATCAAGCTTTACTCTGGAAAAGATGCTGACATCTGTAGTAGAAATGGGGCTGTAGCAACAAGAACATGGCTTTTTGGAAACATGTGAATTAATTCATATGTGACTATGAATCTAATTAATATCATACTGCCAGTTGCTAGCCTCTGACCTTTCAAACTCCTAGGCTTTAAAACGTCCTCCTCTTCTCATCCTTTGTGCTTAAAGCTCTTTTGAAATGTTATTTTGCCACTCCTTCCTCCCCCTGCATCCACTAGATTTGATTAGTTTTCTTTTTTAAAAGATATATATATTTTATTGATTTTTAAAAAATATTTTTTTTATTGATTTTTCAGAGAGGGAGAGGGATAGAGAGCTAGAAATGTCGATGAGAGAGAAACATCGATTAGCTGCCTCTTACACACCCCCTCCTGGGGATGTGCCAGCAACCATTGTACATTACATGCCCTTGACCGGAATCAACCTGGGACCCTTCAGTCCACAGACTGACACTCTCCACTGAGCCAAATCAGTTTCGGCATTTATTGATTTTTTTTTTTTTTTTTTTTTTTTTTTTTTTTTTTTACAGAGAGGAAAGGAGAGATATAGAGAGCTAGAAACATCCATGAGAGGAGAGAAATATCGATCAGCCACCTCCTGCACCACCCCCAACAGGGGACGTGCCTGCAACCAAGGCACATGCCCCTGACCGGAATCGAACCCAGGACCCTTGAGTCTGCAGGCCAACACTCTATCCACTGAACAAAACTGGTTTTGACTAGTTTTTGAGCTGGCTACTAATATCATGTAATTCAGGTCATATGGAAATGTCACTTTTTAAGGACATAAGGGCTCACAGATTCTATAAGAGTTTCTGTTTTCTCTTTTCTAAAGTGACAGGAAGAATTAAATTACTTTAATTCAAACTTAAAGTGGATATAGGAGATGATCAAAAGGGGTACAGAAAATAATTTAAAAAACTTAATTAGCTGAAAAAAGAATGATACAATGTTTAGGCAAGTTGTAGAGAATAGTCTGTGCCAGACAGCAATGAATCTGATTGAGAAGGATGGGAGATCCCTAAAGCGGTGATGACTCAGAGCAAGGGTATGGGAGAAAAGACAGGACTTCTTAGGCTTCACCAGAAAGAAGACTCCAGAGAGGTGGTGGCAAAGCAATTATTGAGGGGCAGGAAGAGAGAGAGAGAGAGAGAGAGAGAGAGAGAGAGAGAGAGAGAGAGAGAGAGACTGACTTTGAGTAAGAGAGAGGCTGTGGATGTAATTAATATTATGTTGGGGGAGGGAGTCCGGTCAGTTCCAAAAGCAGTACTAAGGCAGTGCCAGATGAGACCATCAGGGCACAGGACCTAAATCTATCAGTTTTTAGCACTGATTTCACTGACTTCTGAATGCTAGGAATATTAGAAACCATTAGTTCACTTCTGTTATTCCACAGATGAAGAAAATTAGTTCAACAGTGGTTGAGTGACTTATGTAAACATGGTGTAATCCCCAAACAGGAAATTACAAGCAGTTGGTTCAGCACTAGAACCAGTTTCCTGACTCCTGGTCAGCATCCTTTGCCATCACGCCCTGCTGCCCAACTGAGGGGAAAAGATGCTGCCAAAAAGTCATGCCTGTTCTCTGTGCCTCCTTTGACCAATCTGAAAAACGTGAATGATACAAGAGGTAGCATGGTATGTAGTTAAAAGCTTAGTCTCTGTCAGAGTGGCTGCATCTAAATCCTGGCTCCGCTCTGTAATGTTAAGTATGCTGCTTAGCCTTTCTCTGCCTCAGCTTCCCTATTTGTAAAATAAAAATAATAATAATAATACCCTGACTACAAGGTTGTTAAGAGATTTAGTGAGCTAGTACAGATAAAAGCTTTCAGAATTAGGGCTGACTCTTCTCCACATAGTCCTACTTTGATTAGTCACTGCTTTGGATATCTCTGTTTTTCTAAATCAGGTTTATGGCTTACTAAATGTTATCTGATATTATTGTATATACTAGATATTATATACTAGGTGCATGGATTTGTGCACATTGAAAGGAAATTAATTAGAATAAAGATTTGTGTGATAATTACATTATTGCAAAAAATTACATGTCAAAATAGTATATATAATATAATGTTATAAAATTAAAATACAAAATATCTTAATATCACTATTCACCCTTTTTCTATAATAAAAGTGTGAGAGTCAACATTTATTTTTAAATTGCCAGTCATATGTACTGGCCGGTAAGTCAGCCAGTCAGATGTACGTATGGTCGGTCACTTAGCCTTTCATATATATTATAGATAAACTCATACAACTATAGTTGGCATCATTCATTTACATATCAGAAACTTTTCTTTTATATTGGGTAAAGTGCTATGAGATCCCTTTGAAAAAATTATGTAGAATTGAGTAGCTACAATCATTACAGCAATAACCAATTTTGAAGAGTTTAGAGTGGAGCTGGGGATCTCTGAAAGTTTCTCTTAAATCTCTTTCCTCCTGCAGGACTAATTTAAAAAATAAATAAATAAATAAATAAAATTAAAATTTAAAAAAAAATCTCTTTGTCCACTCTCCTCCTCATTTCTATGCCACATCTCCTCCCTCCCTCTTAACTGAGATTTGAAAAGCCCTCTGCACTCAGTATAACACCACCAGTGTGACCTCCTCTAAAGTATCAAACATCACTATCTCCAGATTTCCCCCAGAGAATCACTTGAAAATCACAACGTTATCCTAAGAATGTCTTTTCTGTAAGCATTTTGGTAAAGAACAGATGAGCATAGTCCCTTGACGATTCAGAGCCAGAATTGAAATAGGAACAAGATTTATGTCTGCAATCACCATTTCTTCCTCTACACAAAGTCATTGACTATTTTGGCTCAGCAGTTTAGTCAGCATTTGGAATTCTGATGCTCCGCTGTGAAAGATTAAAAGGAAAATAGTATGGTTCAGACCTCAAGGTAGCCCTTAAGAAAGGGTAATCAGCCAATGTCAGCAAGGATGATAGGAAAAGAAATACTGTAGTATTAAGGCCTATTTCACCTCTGTCTTCCCAAATTTTACTATAGTATCTAATTTTTTCCCCCCTGACCTAGCCACTTGGGGCTGTTTCTATGTGTCATGATGCCTGAAACATGCACAGAGAAACTGGTATATATTTTATCCATCAAGTCAGTAGCATACTCAGAAGGTACAAGAGAGTGTTATGCATAATTATTCAAATAGATTCCTTCTGGGTACCCCTTATCACTAGATTCCTGACCTGCTTGTCAGTCTCTCTGGTAGGTGCTCATCTTGAATAATTTGTTTTAGTTAGTAATGGAAAATTAAAATTTATAATTAACTTCTGGGCACGACATATAAGTATATCTGCATCCTGAAGAAGGATCCTAAAAGTCGCCAAAATGAGGACCGATTATTTTTTTTAAATTAACTATCTTTTATGGTACCAATTGTCTCCCTCTATTTCTGAAAGAATGCCAATTTAATCCACTCTGTCAGTAACAACTCCTGGATATTAAAAAAGAGCTGATTACATTGCTACATCAGCATCTGCTCAGAAATCAACTTTAGAGGATAAAGCACCAAATCCTGAGCTTGGCATTCAAGGCCTTCCACAGAAGGCTCGAACTTTCCATTCCAGCATATTCCCCTACACAAGCTTCATACTCCACCCAAATGGATGGGCATTTTTAAGGTTTCCGGACCGTAACTGGGGCTTGCCTAACTTTAGCTCTGTCTATGATGTAACTTTTCCTTGCAGACCTCCCCCTCCTCTTTTTAGTTTCCAAAAGCCAGCTTAAGTCCTGTCTCCTTTCTCACATAATAGTAGTCAGCTGTCCATATAAACATGAGACTTTATATCCTCCAGGGGGTTCATTTATGTATCTGGTGTTCACTGAATGATCAATAGCTTCCTATCAGGTTGGTCCCTGCTGACAAGGGATGACACTGCAGAAACGTATCTAGCATAGAGGCTGTAAACACCAATTCTTATCTTTAGAGCATTGTAAAGCAGTTCCATGATGTGGGAAAAATAGTTCATTCATAGTATATCATCTAAAAATCAGATTTATCTATTTTATCCTTCATCTCCTCTCTAAACTTATTTCTCAAATTATCTCTCATTTCTACTAATCATCAAAACCTAAATGTTCTGTTGAAGGCCAGTTGCTACAGGAAGAGGTTCTACTGGCAGAAACATCAATCCTCTGATTGATAACCATCACTCCAGGCTTAACATTCAGAGCTTAGCAATGTCTTTAGACAAGCTAATTAAGGGGCAGTTTGTATTGTGTTTGTGCATGTGTGGTTGTGCAAGTTTAACAAAGTAAAAATAAAATTGTGAATTCTTGGGATATTTTATTATGGAAAGGTTAAGGAGATGATTGTTTTGTATTCTGAATGCTAAGGTGGTAGTGCAGAAAATGCCAATAAACAAAAAAGCAGGTACCATTAAGAGGGTCTGCGTGAATGTTTCCTGGCACATCCCTATGTCCATCTGCCCCTGCTTCTTCTCTGTATATTGCTCTGAATGTTTTAAATTTAAAACAAGAAATCTCTTGATTTTTCCCCCTGAAGCTTATCAATAATGTAAATGTTAAATTCATGCTTCAGTTATGTTCTCCTTTAATTTCTCAGTAAGCTATTCTAGAACTAGCTCGATAATTGTGCACATTGCCACTTCCTCCAAGATCTGTGCCCTTTGCCAGCTTCATTGCAGTCTTCTACCTCCGCACCCTCCTGCCCCCACTCTCCAGTCCTCCACTAGCAAACAAACCCAGCAGTAATTACTAATGTCCAAGCATGTAATTCCGGCAGCACTAGGCTTCTTCATTTGACGCTACTACGCAGAGAGCTGTCTGGACATGCAACATAAAGTCAAAGCTTTCTGATAACTCCTACCTTCCTTCTCTCTCCTCTTCCCATCACTAAGGCACAGTTTTTTATTTCATCTGCATACTGAAGAGTTATAAAACGATTCCTGTAGTTATATACTGTTGAATAATAATTTCATAGCCATACACAATCACAAATCAATATATACTTACATGGAAGCACATGGTTACCCATAAAAATAATTATAAAACACTAGGAAGTAAATAGCCAAGAGAAAGTATCTTCTCTATGTGGACAGGGCATTTGAGCATCTTTTAGTATATAAATTAATGGAGTTATAACTAACCAAACACAATCCAAAACCTCGAAGCTTTTCAAGAGATCATAATGGCATTTCTTCAATGTGTTGTATATGTTCTTACATAATATACTGTTACTGTTATTTAACAACTACTCAATTTTGCTCCTGATCATTATATGCATACGTTAACTGTATAAAACAGCTGGAAATATCCCTGTGATAATTTGTGTTCACTAAGAGTTTCCAAGTCTCAAGAGTAGACAATGGTTAAAGTACTTATCACCGGCCTCAGCAAAATCCCGCAGTGCTATAACAGAAACTGCAGTAGATCTGTAGGTCAGAGTACAATTTCAGTCTAACACCATGGTCCATTCACATTACTGTGAAGGGCACAGTTGGATTCTCCAAGGAAAACCAGTCTTAGTTTTCTGTCAAAATCAGAAACTATCTCCTGAGATAACCAATGTCCATAAGAAATCCTTCCCCTCACTCTGAAACAATGGCCAAAGAGGTTAAATATATATCCTCTAAGACCTGCAATATTTCTCAGAGATTATTTTTTGGTTATGTGATTGGGTTCGTGCCTACATATAAGCATGAGGGAGAAGGAAAAGGATGAAGGATTTATTCTTATAGTTGATTCTGCTTAAACTACCAATATATTTTTATCAAATAAAAATACGTATGGAGATACAGCTCTCCTATAAGCAAATCCTATTTGCATCTTCCTGTATATCTCCTTTATGCCTACCAAAATCTATAGATAGATCTACTCTGTGTTAAAACAAAAACAAATGAAAACCTTGATATTTAACTGGAGGATAATTGAAGGTTGTTTTTTTTTTTTCAAAATGGGTTTATTTTATATCTAAAAAAGGTAAACAGGGCCACACATAAAATTTCCACAAGTGGATATTTATTTATTTATTTATTTATTTATTTATTTATTTATTTTTGAAGCTATGCAGGAGCTGAGAGGATGAGAGAGCAGGTAATTGCCTGCAAAGGAGTACCTGTGGGCAGGATTTTTTTTTCTTTATTTCTTTATTTTTACCTATGTCTGCTTTATTAGGGCGTCTCTGTAGGACCCAGGTCTGAGAGAGGCAATTTGGCCTGCAGCCCTGGAACATCTAGCCATGCCTGGCCAGTCATCTCTGCCGCAGATGCGGCACTGGGGCCGGATCGCTGTCCGCGGTGCTGAAAGGTCGAGGGACCCAGCGCCGTCCCTTGGTATTGCTGTCCAGGGTACTGAGTGAGGTCGTCTGCAGTCCCCAGGGCAGCCCACCCCTGGCCCACCCCCCGCCCCCGACAGCTCTCCGCAGAACCCTCCCACCCAGCACGACCCGCCCGCCTCCCGCCAGCCCGCAGTTAACAAGGAGCAGGCGGCATAAATCAAGTTCGCAGGGCATGGAGGCTGCTGCCGCCGCGGCTGCGGCTCAGCTTGCCCGGGGCGGGAACTCCCCTTTCTCCTTTCGCCTCCTCAGCGTCCACACCCTGCCTTCCCCCCTCCCCCAATTTTTCCCTAGGTAATAGCGCCCTAACCTCAACAGTCATAATAATAGGGTCAGAACACCCGGGTTTGTTTATTTTGGTCTTCAGAAAAAGAAAAAGAAAAACCCCAACAGTCTGAACATCTCTGAAAACTGCATCGCAAAATGGAAGAGAGGACCCCCACTGCTGTTTCAAAAGAGTAAGTTATATTATTGAGTACGTATCCTTGCGCTTCCTCCGAATCGCTCCATCAGCAGCCTCTCCATTCATCTCTTCCCCAAGCAGCTCACCTAGAAAACACTTTTTAAAAAGCCCCAGGCAGGAGGTCTAGCCAGACGCGCACACACGGAATACCGCACCCTAGGTGCACAAATACTTGTATTTGCCCAAGTTCACTTGGTCTGCCCAGCTACCAAGATCCCTGTGGGTCTGCAGCCATCCAGCCAGATCTGCGACCTGGGGATCGGGCTCCTTCCTTACCTTGGCTTCTCCCGAGGGTGGTGTTCTCCCGGACCCAGCAGGTTGCAAGTGTGGAGGAGCCACCGGGCTGCGAGAGAAGGAGACAGCGCCTGACCTCCCTGAGGTTTCGTCTTCAGTGCAACGTGAGCTCTGCCCTCATCAAAGATGGCCGTCCCTTTTGACGTCAGCAGCTTTTAATAGCCTCCGCCTGGAGGGGCGGGGGAGCTCATTACCGGGGGAGGGCTGGGGGAGGGCCGAGCCCAGGGGTGGGAGGAGGGGAGCCTCACGGTGCCCAGCGCGAGACTCAGCTCCCCGTGCACTTTACTGCAAACCTTGGTATTTTAGTCTTTTATAAACAACCGAAGGGGACGATTCTTCTAAGCCCATTTTAACAGCCGGTCTCAGGAACAAACACGTTTATCATCTCGCGACTGGTTTTTCTGATATTCTTTGTATAATGTGCTATTTATGTATGCGTATGTGATGTGTGTATAGGACATATATGTATGTATGTACGTATGCGGTATATAGGATATTATGTATTAAACATTCCCCGTAGTGAGTGGAATCTTTGGTTGAGTCATAGAAGCAGGGGGCAGAGGAGGAGCAGAAGGCGAGGGCTGATGAAGGTAGGGGGTGGAGGGCGGAGGCGTGAACATTTCAACTGCAATTTCTTTTTTTCTAAAAGAGAGGGTCCCAAGGGGCATTCCTGTCAACCATCACCAGGTCCAAATATGGACAGTCTACGTAGGTTGCTATTTTTATAAGTGATTTTTTTTTCCTTCTTGTTATCAAAGCAGCATCGAGGGCGTGGAGTTCGTGTTAATGTAGTCAGTGGGGGGAGAGCTCGCGCAGGCTATTTTAAAGTACGTCAGAGCAATTCTCGCTGGGCGATGTCAGATGAGTTGGGGGGAGGGGGAGGGAAGGGTAGTTAACCCCAACAAAGTGGGTTTGCTGGAGTTCAAGGATGACGAGTTGAGAGTTGTTTGCGGAGGTCAAAATAGATGACCCTGTTTCCGGTTGAATTTGCAATCAGCACCTGGGTTTTAATGTTGGGTTTCTTAGGCATAGTCCACAGAGCCGCGTACACGCCATAGAGAACCGTCCAGACTTCCGGGGGAATGCAGAGGGCTTCGGGTTCAAGGATCGCTGGGACGCTACAAAATTCTGATAGTTCATTCAAACCTGGGTACTAGTCGAGGCTGGCTTGGGGACCCCCAGATGCTCAAAACAGGGCGTGGGGGAGAAGCCTGCTTGTGTGGTCATGTGACAGATTAAAAGAATAATCATAAAGCAATAATCCTAACTGTCCTTCTTTGTGGCGCCTTAGGCGCCCGGGGAGGGGGGTTATGCAAATGGTTCCCCGGTGGCAGCCTCTCGGATGAGTCACAGGTGTTTGGGAGGCTGCCGCGGGGTTCTCCGAGGGGAGGGCGGGCTGGGAAGCGCGTGGGAGGTGGGGGATCTCGGCTGAGGAACTGCTTGTACTTTTCCGGGAAGGATGTGATTAGAAGTCGTGCCTTGCGGTGTTGAAACTTGGATTCTTTTAGGCAATGGAAAATCCTTGTCTCCACCCCTCCCTTCCCCACCCGCAACACACACACCCTCTCTCTCTCTCTCTCTCTCTCTTTCTCTCTCTCTCTCTCTCTCTCTCTCTCTCTCTCTCACACACACACACACACACACACACACACACACACACACACACACACACACACTTAGAACCAAGCTTAGCCTTTTAATTGCTCACTATACCAGAGTGGTGGTAAAAGAGGGAGAGGGAGTAGAGTAGGAGGGAAGGAGGATGGGGGAGAGGGAGAGAGACAATGAGAATAAATCTCAGGAAAGGAGGAAAGCAGGGTTGTAAAAGGGTTGGGGAGGATAGAGCGAGCAGATTTATAAAAATTTAATAAAAGATACTTTTAATTGAAATAAATAAAAGGCATTGTTTCATAAAGATTCCCTGACCCAAAGGGTATTTGAAATATTAATGTTTTCAATAATAATTAACAAATAATGTTTGAATTTTTATTAAAACTGGATTCCTAAAACAAGGCATGCTACTGCAATTTATTTGCTTAAATATTCATTAGACATTTAAGACTCTTAGACAATAAAGAATAAAATCTGCAAGGTCCCTAGATACGTAATGGCCAATAAAACTCCTAGTTATAGTTCTTTCATTCTGAAGCAAACTGGGATGAGAGAAGTGGCCAGTGCAATGTTACTACAACATCTTTTATAGTTAAGATTTTTTTTTTTTTCTAAAATGTGCTGCTTTTTTTGACACGTGGAAGCTGGGGGGAATAAGCCTGCAGTGAGGGAGAAATAAAGCATGTTTATGGCCCTCAGATTGAAAGTTTTGTGAAGGAATGGAGGAGGTGGGGGATTTTCCAGAATTTAAAAAAAAAAAAAAAAAAAGTAACTACGTCAGTGGTGTATTTTCGTCCTGCAGGCAAAAGCTGTATGGCAGCCACGGGGGAGAACTGGCTCTGTATTCTGAGTTTTTAACTGCTGATGCTCCACACTGACATCTTAAAAAAATTACAGATAAGAGGAGAGAGGCTGATTCAAAGCATCACAGAAAATAATACAGGCCCTACAGGATTATCTCATGGTGGCAGCAACATTTTGCATCCTCCTGTGCTTGTGTTAAAAATGATGCTGTTTGAGAGGTGCTTTATCTTGTTCTGGGAGAGGTAGCAGGCTCATTTAAGAAACATAAACACTGGATAAATATAAGTCTACCAAGGATGACCAGGTAGCCCTAAATCTATTTTTAATATAATGAGACTTTCCATGTAGGGTTTTCTCAATGCTTGTTTAGAAAAACCCATAGTCATTCTTGGCAATAGAGAACCAGCAGGTTCATGTTATTCAGGGTCTATAAAGCCCTAAATGCCACAGAGAAGGAAGCTGATGAAAAAGTTGCTCAGAAATGACTCAGCTGCCTTGAGTTATTTCTACAAAGAACCAGGATACAGAATAACTAACGCTTAGGAACTCATTTGATAAGTAATGAGAAAATCACCTGCTTTGCTGGATGGATATTTACACTATGCTAATTCGGTCTCTGAAAGCTTTTTTTCTGGTATACCATGCCCCAAAGTAATATAGCTCTAGATCCAAAATATTTAACTGGTATTTCCCAGGTAAGGTTCAACATTCACATTGAATCAATAACTCCATCTTCATAAAGAAGAACAATAATAAAATATATGATTTGTAAAATATCATACGATCTTTCCAAAGTCAATTTGAAAGTAGTTTAGAAAGAGATCAACTCAGAAACCCCCTCTCCAAGGTCCTCCTTTGGGGCATGCCTGGTACCCTGTGACAATATTTCAACACTATGAGGGCATAGGATGTGGGCAGAAGAATATAAAATTTGACAATCATTTGTTTTGATTCCTTGGTTTGCTTTCCACATGACTTGCTTGCCTCTTTCTCTTTATAGTTCTTCCATTCTTTACCCCAGCCTCCACCCCCATTGATCTATAATGACCTAATAGCACCCATCAAAAACATAAATGCTTTAGATATAAACTCCCCCTAGGCTGTTTCTGTTCCGAGGTAGGGACATACCTTGTGAGAGGTAGAAAGACCATCAGGAATATTGGTTTCTGTTTCTGGCTTGTTGTGTTGAGAGAGAGAGAGAGAAAGAGAGAGAGAGAGAGAGAGAGAGAGAGAGAGAGAGAGAGAGAGAGAGAGAGAGAGAGAGAGAGAGAGGGAGAGAGGGAGAGAACACCCAGAATTTTAAATAACATTTGTTCTTTACTAAGAACTGCATTGTAGGAAGGAAGGAGAAGAGTGCTCAGCAACCAGGTGCTTCCACATTCCTGTTCCTTAATACCTCAAATTATAGGCTCTCTTTTATACAGGAATGCATCTAAGGACCACTGTGATGCTGAAACACGCCTGTGGTCAAGTAGGAAGGAAGAACCTTGTGACATTTAGGGATAGAGGGAAGGAGAAAATAATAGCCAAAATGAACAAACCTCAAAAAGGCTCTTTGAAAGGGATCACAGCATTCCTTCAATAAGTCTTTTAAGAATATTATTAGCTCTGTATCCTCTCTGTACCTCAGTTATCTCAGAGGTAAAATGAGGACAAGGAAATTGTGAAATAACTTAAGTCATCATGTCTGGCATTATGAAATATTGGTTAAATAAGGTAAATATATCAATTTGATGAGATTTTTAACATTCTCTAAGTAATGATATGAGACTGCTTTAATATGGAGGATAAATTTTTTGTTTCATTTTGTTAGTTACTAACTAGATATGTATCATTTCATGGCTCTGGACCTTGGTTTCTTCATCTGTATTAATTTGCCTGCCATTTGCTTGGCACTGAAATATATTGGGATTTAGGTGAAACAGAAGAGGGCATTCAGAATTAGGTTAAACAACCTGAGCAAGGGCACAGCTAATACATGGTATGGCTGGAATTTGTGCCCCAGTGTCCAGCTTTAATGCAAATTCTTCAAGCCCCTCAGACTCCTCCCCTCTATATTAACTAGGATTCTCCAGAGAAACAGAAGCAATAATATTTCTCTCCCCCTCTTTTCTCTCTGTATATACAAAGGGGTTTATTATAAGGAATTTGCTCATGTGATTGTGGAGCCTGGCAAGTCTTAAGATCTGCAGGGTGAGTGGGCAAGCTGGAGACCCAGGAAGCTGATGGTGATGTCATTCCAGTCCAAAGGCCAGCAGGTTCAAGACCCAGGGAAAGCAGTTGTTTCAGTTTGAATCTGAAGGAAAAAGCCAGTGTTCCAGTTTAAAGGCTGTCAGGCAAGAGGAACTTTCTCTTGCTTTGGGGAGAATCAGCCTTTTTGTTCTATTTAGGCCTTTAGCTGACTGGATAAGGCCCACTATATTAGGGAGGGCAATCTGTTTTAATTTACTGATTTAAATATTAACTCACCCAAAGACACCCTCACAGAAGCTGGCCCAGTCAAGTTGACATAAAATTAACTATCACAGCTTCACATTATAGTTGACTACTCTGCTTCAACATATTGTGGTTTGTGTATGACTTTTTTCATTAGTAGCTTTAAGGGTCCTTTGCTAATGGGATGAGTTTTTAGGACACTGATCACAAGGTTTTGTTGAGGTGAATTCCAAGAGGGATCTAGTTTGGAAACG